GATCTTATTGAACTCCGTCATGAAATGCTTCATCTGTATCCTCTTGTAAAGAGTCTTATGTATCTGAATTGCAAGTTTTGATAGAAACATTAATGCATAGGTAATTTTGAAAGTCCTTTGTTTGTTTTAATTTTGCCCTTTTTTTTTCTTTCAGAGAGCACAAACATGTCAACAGAGACTAGATAGGGAAATTTACAACTTTCTCAAAATGATTAAAGAGTGTGATGTGGCCAAAGGTAAGGAAACAGAGAGAGAGAGAGAGAGAGAGAGAGAGAGAGAGAGAGAGAGAGAGAGAGAGAGAGAGAGCGACATAAATTACCCTAGATCCCCACTCTTGACCCTATGTCAATTTGTGTGACTGCACATTTTAGACTTTGTGTGTGTGTGTGTATGTATGTGTGTGTGTGTGCGCGCACACACACATGACTACTTGTTTGAGCTATAACATGTGGAGGACAGAGGATAACTTGTAGGAGTCAATTCTTTCCTTCCATCAAGTGAGTCCAGGCCAGTGGCACTTGGGTTGTCAGCCTTGGCTACAGGTAACTTTATCCACTAAGCCCTCTGACCACTGAGCCCTCTGACCACTGAGCCATCTCAGCCACTCCCATCTCTCATCTTGCTAACACTACTTTAGAAAATCTTAGAGTGGTGCTGTCTTTTGTGCCTGTGCTGGTATGCTCCTCCGTGCCCATTCTGCCATGCCTTGTGGAACAAAGTTCCATTACTGAGACCTGCTTAGAGTTGGACCTCTGATGGATTTAGCAATCGGGAGGGTCTCTCAAGGGATGGGTGCAGAGCATGGGAGAAGTAGATCAGAGGTTTGTCCTTGCTCCTTCTGTGACGGGACAATGTGGGTTTGCATCTTGGTGAGTGCACAGGCCCATAGCACAAGCAGACAAGAGGAGAGCGCTGGCATTGTTTGAGTGCAGTTTGAACAAAGAACCCTTATTAGGAGAGCTACACGTGCTCATATAGGAATGCACATGTAGGGTGGGCACATTCCTGAGCATGCTGTTTCTGCTTTACATGTTTGGTGCAGAAAAGGAAGCTGGAAGACTCATTTCTGCTGTGGGCAGAGGATTTAGCATTATGAGCAAAGTTTTCTCCAGGTTTCCCAAAAAATGATCCACAATGATGTAGTCATTACTGCTGTTTCCTGTGAGTTTCTCCAAAGAGCCTTAGTGGAATTAAAGAAAACCAACTCTGAAGCATGTTACCAGTTTTTAAAAGAGCAGCAGTGTTGCTCTGTAAGAATAGGAGCCTGCCTTGCTGTAGGGCTAATATATCCCCCAGGGCCATGGCCTAATAGTGGGAGCTACTTTGTCTGTCTGCCCCATGCCTCAGGTCTGCCTATGGCACCACCCCTTAACTCCTTGTTAATCCTGGTCACACTCTGTATGGAAACTTCTGGTCTGTTGCTTTACACAGCCCTCCTACCTTCTGTGAGTGGTGTCTCCCAGCCTTGAGCTTGTCACACTTATGAAAGCCCCTTTCTCCCTGCCTCCCTCTGCCCTCTTCTTTCGTCCCTTCTCCCCTTTCCTTTCTCCCACATTCTCCCCCTTTCCCCTCTCCCTTTCTCTGGTGAATGAAACAAATGACCTACTACTTATCTAGCTTATATATTTGCAACTATTTCTCTAAGAGTCAGGGAGAAAAGAGTGTACGTTTGGTTAGTAAATGTGATGTTATTCAAATCACTAAGACCTTTTTAGAAACAACCCAAAATAAGGCAAGCATCAGTGGCACATACATCGTTAATCCCAGCACTAGGAAGGCAGAGGCAGGTGGAGCTCTGTGACTTCAAGGCCAGCCTAGTCTACAGAGTGAAAGAAAGGGAGGAAGAGGAAGAAAGAAGGAAGGAAGGAAGAAAAAAGGAAGGGAGATATATATACCAAAGTAGGGAGGAAGCCAGGAAACTTCAGTGGTTTGCATTGTGGCCCATGGGACTCCCAGTTAATGCCTGTAGCTTTTTGTATCATGCTTTTACCCTTTGGATTCACTGTTTTATTTTTAAAATTTAGTACATTTAATTTATCTTATGTGCATGCACATGTTTGTGTCCTTATTTTGCCCTTATTACCACTTTCTCCTTAATTCCCCTCCCTTGATTCATAGGTCTTTTTTGCCATTTTTTAAATTATTGAGCTAAACATTTCCCCCCCTTCCCTTTCCTTCTTCCCTCTCATCTTCCAGCATCCTTCTGCCCCATGCTTCCAATTTACTCAGGGGTTCTTTTCTTTTTCCCCTTCCCAGGTGGATCCATGTATATCTCTCTTAAGGTCCTCTTTGTTACCTAGATTTTCTGAGGTTGTGGCCTGTAGGCTGGATATCCTTTGCTTTATGTCTAATATCCACTTATGAGTGAGCACATGCTATAGTTTTCTTCTGGGTCTGCGTTCCCTCACTCAGGATGGCTTTTTCTAGTTCCATCCATTTGCCAGCAAATTTCAAGATGTCATTGTTACCTCCATTGTGTAAATGTACCACATTTTCCTTATCTATTCTTTGGTTGGGGGGCATCTAGGTTGATTCCAGGTTCTGGCTATTATAAATAATACTGCTATGAACATAGTTTAATAAATGTCCTTGTGGTATGAGTGTGCATCCTTTGGGTATATGCTCCAAAATGGTATTGCAGGGTCTTGAGGTAGATTGATTCCCAATTTTCTGAGAAACGGCCAAACTGATTTCCTAAGTGGCTATACAAGTTTGCACTCCCACCAGCAATAAAGGAGTGTTTCCCTTACTCCACATCCTTTCCAGGATAAACTGTCATCATAGTTTTTAATATTGTCCATTCTGACAGGTGTAAGATGGTATCTCACAGTTGTTTTGATTTCCATTTCTCAGATGTCTAAGGATGTTGAGCATTTCCTTAAGTGTCTATTGGCCATTTGAAATTCCTCTGTTGAGAATTCTCTGTTTAGATCTGGACCCCATTTTTTTAAATTGTATTATTTGGTCTTTTGATGTCTAGTTTCTTGGGTTCTTTGTGTATTTTGGAGATCATCCCTCTATCAGTTGTGGGGTTGGTGAAAATCTTTTCCCATTCTGTAGGGAGCTGTTTTGTCTTATTGACTATGTCCTTTGCTTTACAGAAGCTTTTCAGTTTCAAGAGGTTCCCTTTATTAATTGTTTCTCTCAGTGTGCTACTGGCCTTCTATTTAGGAAGTAGTCTCCTGTGCCAATTTGTTCAAGGCTACTTTCCACTTTCTCTTCTGTGAGGCTCAATGTGGTTGGTTTTATGTTGAGGTCTTTGATCCATTTGGACTTGAGTTTTGTGTAAGGTGATAGATATAGATCTATTTGTATTCTTCTACATGTCAACATTCAGTTATACCAGCACCATTTGTTGAAGATGCTTCCTTTTTTCCATTTTGTAATTTTAGATTCTTTGTCAAAAATCAGGTGTTTATAGGTGTATGTTTTGATAACAGGGTCTTCAATTCAATTTCATTGGTCCACCTGTCTATTTTTATGCCAATACCAAGATGTTTTCATCACTGTAGCTCTATAGTATTGTTTTAAGTCAGGTATGGTGATGCCTCCAGAAATTTCTTTAATGTACAGGATTGTTTTGGCTATACTGGGCTTTTTGGTTTTCCATATAAAGTTGGGTATTATTCTTTTGAGTTCTGTGAAATTTTTTCTGGGATTTTGAGGGGTATTACATTGAATCTGTAGATTGCTTTCGGTAAGATGGGCATTTTTACCATGTTAATCTTACCTATCCAAGAAAATGGGAGATCTTTCCATTTTCTGATGTCTTTTTTGGTTTCCTTCTTCAAAGACTTAAAGTTCTTGTCATACAGATCTTTCACTTGTTTGGTTAAAGTTAACCCAACATATTTTTTGTTATTTGTGGCTATTGTAAAGGGTGTTATTTTTCTGATTTCTTTCTCAGCCCATTTATGATCTCTCTATATATCATCTGCATATAGTATATATCTACTGATTTTTTGAGTTAATTTTCTATCCTGCTACATTATTGAAGGTGTTTATCAGTTGTAAGAGTTCCCTGGTAGAATTTTTGGAGTCACTTATGTATACTGTCGTATCATCGACAAATAATGAATGTTTGACTTCTTTTCCAATTTGTATTCTCTTGATCTCCTTTTGTTGTTTTAATGCTCTAGCTAGAACTTCAAGTAATATATTGAATAAATATGGAGAGAATGGACAGCCATGTCTTGTTCCTGATTTCAGTGAGATTGATTTGAGTCTCTCTCCATTTAGTTTGATATTGGCTGTTGGCTTTCTGTACATTGCCTTTATTATATTTAGGTATGTTCCTTGAATCCCTGCTCTCTCCAAGACCTTTATCATGAAGGGGTGTTGAATTTTGTTGAAGGCTTTTTCAGCATCTAATGAAAAGATCTGATTGGGGAAGTCCTTCTGTGTATATGTTTGTCTTATTGGTTGATAAAGTACCGTTGGCCAATGGGGAAGCAAGTTAGGCAAGACTCGGAGTTGAGGAGGATTCTGGGAAATGTAGTAAAGAGAAATCCTGTGATCCAGGCAGGAAGTGACATAGAAGGCAGACTCAGAATATAAGCATGGACAAGCAGGAAATTGATCTCTTCCTCTTCCTCCTCCTCCTCTCTTCTCTGGAGTCGCCATGTGATCGCAACAAGAGAGGATGCATGCCCCTAGCGTCCTGATCAGATAAGTCTTTATAAAATATATAGATTAGTAATTATGGTTACTGAGATAGCAAGTAAGAAATCCTAGTCATTGGCCAGCAGCATTTTACCTAATATTAATCTCTGTTATTTTGGGCACCCACATGGTGGCGGGGCTTGGGCAGCTTGGCGGAAAGACTTACCGTTACAAAATGGTGTCAGGACATGGGTTTACAAACTTCCACATAAAAACTTCACAAAACCTTTAAAAGTGATTTTAGAAGCAAAAGAACAGAGACAAGCACAACTTCTTGTTAGCAGCATTTTCTTGGGTGGTCTCTGTTTTGCTAGAGACAAGCAGAGACTTGACCGACTCCTTTAAGAGAGGCTTCCTGACTCAGCATGAGTGGCAAAAACCACAAGGCTCTATTAGCAATGCTGTTTAGCAGATAAAAGACCACATGGCCAGAAAAAGGTAAAGATTTACAGTAAAGACAGATTCAGAAGAAGAAAAACCTCTAAAGGTTTACAGTGTGTTTAGAAATATACATAGGCTTGTACATTTTTGTATATATTGAGATATTGTATATATTGAGAAGAAAGAAACAGGA